GCGCATAAAATTTAAGTGTGCCGACAGCATTCTAAGCAAGCGATTCGCCATATTCTCCAGATGCTCAACGTCAGTTGTGTATCACCTTTCATACAGAGCAAAGACGGTGTATATGGACCAGAATTATGATTGAAGCGGACAAAACCTCCTGCTGGTTCATATTTATGCTGTGGTGAAAACTATGTATTAGTCATTTAACAATACGAATTGTATTTTATGACATGTATAATTTTATTCGAAGTCTGCTTTAGAAGCATTTTTTGCGGATCACTCCATATATACAGTATATCTAAAATTGGCAACAAATGCGAAATCTATTCAGTGAAAAAAATATATATATAAAAAATTCTGCATCAAATAGAAATCAATAATCAGGAAACAAATTTGTAAAATATTTATATATAAGGAAAACCAAAAATATTGATTTAAGCTGAAGAGTGGTTTAAAATTTAATTACAGAACAAAATGTCATTTAAAATTGAGAATAGGAATTAAAAATTATCCAAGTCAAAGTTTAGATTCATGGTCTTTTAATAATTAATTAATATATATTTAAAGTAAAAAAAATGAATTAAAACACAATATGTTTTATTTGTTGCCATCTTTTCCAAACATTATAAAATGGAGCTTATTTAGTTTTACAGAATTTATTTAAATAATTTTATTACTGTCTGTTTTAGATTTCCTTTGAAGTATCCAGAAAGAATGAGTTAAAACAAAGACATTGTTTATTTTATTAAGTTCTGGTGGCGCCTCTGCCTAAAGTTTAAAAAAAATATTATTGTCTACGTTTAATATCTGGTGCCAAACCGTTGCATATTGGAGTTCAGAGTTACGTGTCTCTCTTTCCTAGTCTAATATAGTAGATATTAGTATAGTATGAATGTATGCTTATAAATACATATATTTTAGCTCTATCCCAACAATAAGCAGCTCAGTTTACATTTGGATTAGAATTGATCATAAATATTATGGTTCCTGCAGCTACAGCTTTATTTATTGCAGTTTTCTTTTCAAATACAAAATTAAATGTAGATGGGTGGCTTAGTCGGCAGTAATAACTCTCGGATTCACTGAAGAGCTCTAATTAACAGTACCGTTCCTAAGATGGTGCTGGGAAACAGTAACAAAATCTACACAGAACTTTAGTAATTGATGCCGATGACACTGACTAAAGAAAAATATATTTTTCGTGGTCGAGCCCGACATTCCTGACAGTCCAAAAAATTGTCGATAATAAGCGAATAAAAAAAAATAAAATGCGGCTTTGTATTAAACTTGAACTACATAGTATACGAATCAAAAAATATAAAATCATGTTCAACTTATATACAAGGTTGCTATTGTTGTTTAAATAAGGAATTATTATTTTCATTTACTTCAACTATACAGAAAAAAAATATATTCATATTTGTAGACATTTTTATGCTCTACAATATATAATAAGTGCTATCGACTTTAGATTTTTAACAAAAACTGCAAAGTAAAAACTGTGTATTTAATAACGGAAAAACGTTTGGAAAAAAATTAAAAGGGAATGAAGGCCCTTAATATTTTAGTTGTAGGTACCAGTTTTCGAAATATTTCAGTTAAATATATTTTCAAAGATGGCGGCTAAACCATGCCGCGCCTCGCCGATTTTACTGTAAATTCAGAAACAAACGGTTACTGTTGGAATGAAATTTAAAAAAAAAAACTACCTGTCAACTGGAGTAGGTATATAGTTAATTTGTGATGTAATATTTCCAGCGTTCTTTCTCAAAATACAAACCAATATTTTTCCCAACTTTATTCAACACAATAAAAAACAAAAGTATCGACGTTATAAATTTATTAAATAAATTTTCACGACTCGTTCGAAGACACGCAAAAAAAATATAAAAAATATAGGAGACATTTTAACCTTACAACAGGAGAATAACACAGGAACAAACGTTTAACAAATAAACAGCATCAGCAGTCGACACTGAGACTCAGTACGAAAAAAAGGGAGGATTCGACAAAAAAACCGTCGTCTTAGATCAGAAAACGACACACTTCCGGTTATTTATATTCGACTCGTTTTTGTGAAAATAAATTATTTTAATTCCGTTATAAAAACTTTCAAATTTCATTTCAAATACATTTTTTAAAAGGAAATTTATGTAACTTTCTTATGGTATATAAATGGAAATTCTGTAATTCAGTGTTTTAAAAATTTAAACACACATTAACGGACAAATTTCTAGTTGCATAAATATTAAATTGAAAACTGTTTTTGATAGCAAAAAGTAACCTCAATGTTTAGTAGAGAATATTCAAACATCTACTTCAGAAATGATTGTATTATAAGATCTATCACCTCTAAGAAAATTTCATGAAATTAAAATATGTCATTCAACAAGAATGTCTTCAAATTTTCTATAAAAAAAAACTTGTTTTTGATGCGATATGGCGCTTTCAGCAGAAATAAATACTTGTTAGTAAAAATGTGAACTGTATAAGTTTTATTGCAACAAAAATCAAGGATTTAAAATGAATTATGGACTAATTTGCACATGTAAACAAATGTTTTGAAGTCATGTCTTTAGTAAAAAAAAATAGTGTCACTGCATTAGTTATTTTGATTAGTAATTTTTAATTTTGTATTGAAAAGCTCTTTTACTTTAATACAGTTGTATTAACCCTTAATTGGTATTTTGGGGGTCACTGGTGACCCTAAGCCTTTATAAACGAGGGGTGAACTACTCCTGAAATACTGTAGAAAATCACCTAAATCGCTACAAATTCTTTCGAAGCAGGTGGTAGTGGATTAAAAAACAAGTAAACAGCAAAAAAGATCACTCAAAAAAAGTGAAGAGCAAAAAATTGTAATTTTTGTATATAAGGTGCGAATTATTACTTTAGTGACTGAGAAAGTTTTCTGATGAGGCACAACCGATTAAAAAAATTGTTCAAGATGACAAAAGAATTTCACACATGAGATATGCAAACAATACGACTTTAATTTGATTAAACTAAAACTATAAAACGATATCTTGAAGAAATCATGTTTTTAATAAATTAATTTAAATTATTCTACTTTCAGTTGATTTATTTGATAAAACAATATTTTTGAACTAGATGTTTCTTTAATTTTTGTGTATACATTAAAAATTACAAAAATACAAATAATCATAGGTATGTGATGTGCAAAATATTTTGCACCTAATGCCCAAAATATTTTGGGCACGGTCAATGAATAAATGTATAATTTTGGACACTGACATTAATATGTAAACATAGCCCTTTTTGACAGTTGTAGAAAAAGGTCTTTTGAATAATTATAATTAATTGGAAATTATATAATTTGATGATTTCACCAAAATCGTATAAAATTAAGGGGGACTTTGGCAAAATCACCGAATCCGTAATCGGCGAAAATACTGAACTTGGCGAAATCACCTAAAACGCCGAAATCACCTAAAACGCCGAAATCACTGAAATCAACTAAATCGGCGAAATAATGTAGGACGATGGGTCATTTTGCCGAAATCCTAAAAATGTATAAAAGATTTCAGAGAATTCACCGAAATTATACGAATGTTTGTTGATTTCCGAAATACTCGTACATTTTGACAGTGATTCATGAGCGACATTTTATGCTGTACTGTTTTGAAGATATAGATCGTCGAGGTCAGCCCTGACCCCAACATACCACTAATGTTTTTTTTAATATCACGTGCACATTTTTATCTCAGAAAGAACTTGAAAATGTTTTAATGAATAATAGTTGAAATAGAAAAAAAGAGTCAAAATTGTTTGGGAGTTTTTTGAAGTGTAAAATTTAGAAAACCCATCTGCAATCAACTCTTGCACCACAGCAATGGAAATGTAAAAGAAAACGCCAGTCATTTGTTTTTTAGCAACATTGTAAGCACCTTTTTGTTTGTTACAATTCGAGGGATAATCCAGTCCTGAAATACTGGCAAGTTTTCACTGGAAATCACCGAAATCGCTACAAATCCTCCTCAAATCTCCAAAATCATCACGGAAATCAATTTTTCGCGAATTATAAAAGCAGCGGCCCAATCAGTTACTATACGATACAATTAAAATTATACCTATTCGGCAAAGGAAAAATGAGGTCTCCATTAAAATTGCCGAGAAACCAAATACAGAACTACTGAACCAACATCACCCCAAAAAGGAGGTACCTTGAAACACTATTGTGGGATAAAATAATGGACTCAAAAGAAAATAATTAGTATATACAATTTTTATACATACATTGATGGATCTACTTATTTATAATTTCTTATGCAGCTAGAACGTTATTTAATCATCAAACATTATATAACCATTATTGTTAATAAGGGCTGAAAGACTCTGGTCGATATCTCTTTGGATTTACCACAAATAAAGATTTTTCTTCTCCCAAACGCAGAAGGTGGTGGATCAAAAAAACACGCGAAGAGCAAAAAAAGGTCAATGAAAAACAGGTTAAGAACAAAACAAAAAGGTTTTTTTTTTGAATATTTCTCAAGAAAATTTATATTTTCTCTGGAGAAAACTTAAAAGATGGTACAATAATAATGATCATGCATTGGAAATTATAAACATTTCAGCGAAATCGGATAAAATTAAGGTGGATTTCGGCGAAATCACCGAAATCATACGAATTTTAGGTGACTTCCAAAAGTAGGTTATCCCTCGATAATTTTCTGATGAAGTGTAAAGAAATAAAAAAATAGGCCGTCTTACAATGATGGCATTATCCTTTTAATTTTTGGACCAATTTTGTAGACAAAATAATGTCTTTTTCATGTATTCGAATATTTTGAAATTTTTTGTTACTTTTAATAAATATTTGTTTTACTTCATTACTCACTTTGCTAAAAATTAAGCTTGTTTCTCCAAAAATGTTTTATCAACTTTTGTTTTCTCCTTGTACTTTTTCCTTTAAATTGGGGTCAACTGTGACACCATATTACCAGTTACGTTAGAAAAAATGTATACACCAGCTAAGAGTTAAAACACAAAAGTATAGAAGTAGGTATTAGGGCAATATACACTGCTTATCGTTAAGAAACAAGTTAAGCTTAATATGGCTTAATGGAAAAATGTAATTTTAAGCCTGGCTTATTTCTTAAAGACTACACAAACTAGATCAAGCTTATCTCACATTCTAACACCTATTTGTACACTTTTTTGAATACTTTTCTCGAATTCCTAGTACTAGGAAATTATCAAATGTAAAAATACGCGGACCAAAAAAAATGTTATAGAAATAATTTTGCTGGCAATTTACAAAAAAATATTTTCAATACAGTAAACAAAATATTTAACACCCACCGAAATATGTATAATTTATTAGTCACCTACCAATAAAAAAAACTGATAGTAGAACCCAATACCACCGAATAAAAATTTCAATCAGAACGGTCCTAACTGGATTTTTATCAGCACAACTTAAGAATGTACGTTTTTTGATCTAAGACGTCTAGTCTACGAAAAATGGGTTAAGTCGGGTAAAACTAGGCTTCCGTAGAAGCGACGAGGGAACCCTTGGGAGTGTAGGCCGTCGCGTTGGGGTCGAGATTCGAGGGGGGACTCTCGGCCAAACGTACTCTGGAAATGTTGGTGCCTCCCGATGTCGGGCTGCTGAACGAGTCGTTCGGCATCACCGCCAGCACTTGCGCTATCTTACTTTTTAGCTCTTCGATTTCCTTTTCTTGAGCTCGATTCGAACCTGAAAAATTAAGAAAGTCAGTATTGCACAGTTTTAACAGTTCAAAGCATTCTGCAGTGGGACAGGAAGCACTCACACTTTCACTAAAATACCGGCGTGTGTATTAAATTGAGATGTGCATTTTTACAAGTCATGGAACTCTGTGGTTTTAGAACAAGAATACAAGAGTTCTTTTCTTGAGACGTCATCTGACCAATTGTCTCTCAAAAGTTCCCACGCGCGTTGTATGTAGTCTTTTGATTGGCTAAGGATTATGAAGGTCTTGTTTCTTGATGGAAGTGTTGCAAGCATGATGCCTAAGTCAGCATTACAGGTGTTCATTCTCAGAATTGATTGCACATAGTTGGTTTTATGAATTTGAATGGGGAATTCTTTTTTTTATTTAAGAAATTGATAAATATATACGAATAAACATAGGTTTCATTCATAATTTTTTTAATTCATTCCTTATTTTGAGAAAAAAATATTAAAGTAGTAGTTTTTAAAGTTTAAAGCGTTACGTTCGTTATTTACCATTTGGCAACGATGCCTAGTAAATTAACGACATACGTGAAGGGTTTTGCAAGATAAAATTCAACATTTATATTTATCTCAGGGACTTAAATATGAGAAAATTGTGGTTTCAGGTTGTAGTACTTTATAAAAACTATATTATACTGTTTGGGTGATCACTTCAATATATGTCACTACAGAAAACACTATTTTAAGTTAACATATATATAACTAGGGTCATGATACTACATTAATTTATTTACTTATATGATTTATAAATTTATTATATTAGTAAACTGCTGTAAAAACACTAAAAATTTCGATCCAAATATAAACAAACAAAAGAGGTTAGAATAAAACAACACACAACTGACAACTGATACAAAAACAGCGATCAGGAATTGATCCAAACTATTCTGAAATCCCTCTCCCTTTCTCTTAAATGAGAGAAAAAGATGAAAGCGATTTTCCTAGTGCAGATCTTGAACGGAACGGATGAATCCTTAAGAAACAACCTTAAACCGTTGCCAAATATCCAAAGTGAAACATAACACTTTAAACTTTAATTACCCGACTTTATTTTCTAATTTTTACTAACTAGAAAAACATTTTAACAGACAAAAATTTGTCAGGGTGCATCTACCAGGGATCTAACCTGGAACCTTTGAACCGTAGCCGTCGATGCTCTTTCCACATGGCTTTCGAAAACCGAACTCCTAAATTTGAAGTCAATGATATTCCGATACTCGTCGGCGCAAACACAAATTTTAATCTCACCTTCCTCAATTACTCTTAAAACCACATTTGTGAAATCGTGTAGAAAGGACGACAATCTAATTGTACTAGAATAAATTTCTTTCTTGGTTCACTTTCTTTCATTTCATTTTCTCGTTTACTACAAACCGTATGCGAAAACTTAACAAGGATGAATGAATGAAGGATCTTAGAAATTTATTCTAGTACAATCACATTGTCGTCCTTTTTTCACGATGTCACAAGGGTGGCTTTAAGAAGAATTGGGAGAGCTGAGATGAGATTAGAATTTGTGTTTGCGCCGACGAGAGTCGGAATCTAATTGATTTTAAATCTACGAGTTCGGATATCTAAAGCCACGTGCCTCGATAGCTCAACTGATATGAGCATGGACGGTTACAGGCCAAAGGTTTTAAATTTCATTCCTGGTCGATGTACTTATTTTTTATAAAAAAAAAGTTCTTTGGTTTATTCGGTCATATAATTTTTATTTTTTATAATTTACCCACAAGCACTATATATGTTGATTACGAACAGTTTAAAAATTTAAAATAACAAAAACCCCATCTTTGTGTTTCTTCTTTCTTTAATTCTTTCAATTTTTCATTGGTTTGTTTTTAATTTGGGGATATCAGGTGTATTTTTCATATTTTGTAAGGGGAATTCTGGATTTTTCATTTTCAAATTTCCAAAATTGCATTTCAGTATATTTTTTTACTTCACTTTCTTTTATTTCAGTGTAAGAAATGGAGACAGTGCCTTCTACAAATTTCAAGACAGGACTAGAGTGTACTCATTCGGGTATATAAATAGGATTGTTTTACCATTTGAGTTAGTTGAAGTCGAGATATTGTTGTGTAAAGATAAATTGTCAATATGTAAATTAATATAGGAGTATGAGTTTGAGATTTAAATAGTATTAGGTACAAATACATAAAATGAGTTAGTGGATTTAATGAATACATTAAATAAACTGTTTAAAATAAATAAATGTTACACTAATTTACCTACTTGTACAGTGATTAAATCTTATCCCTAGTTTATTTTAAAGAGTAGATAAAAACTCTTGGACACGTTAATTTTTATTTTATTCTAGACTTTATAACAAAAAAAATGCATCCGCTTTCGTCCCCTCCAGGTGAAAGTTACCCCTCATTTTATTTAATAGCAAGGGATATTTTAATGAAATGGTAATTTTATGGTGAATTTAGTAATATTACTGTTCATTGTGTTATTTACTTCTAATTTCAACCATGATAGAAAACAGTTACGTATTGTAAAGTGTAGTACTTCATCTTAAAACTAATTTTATTAGTCCTTAAATGCACTACATAATATTATCTTAAGTACGAGGGCTGTCTTTTAAGTTTTGCATACCATGCATTAGAGGGCGTTACGAATCAAACGGCTCTAATAAAAATAAACTGTCGCCTTTAGTTAACCTCACTTCCAAGTTTCAGTCCGATTCATAGAGTGTTGTAGTTACACCGAATTTTCAAAGTTGACAGGTTATTCAAGAAACGGATTTAAACCGAGAACATTTTCGTGCCATAATTTTTTACAACTTTCGAAGACAGTTATCTCAACAAGAATGCCTCACCGAGTTGGTTTCTGTTTTCGGTAGTGATGCACCACATCAATCGACAATTTCTCGTTGGTATGGAGAATTTACACGAGGACAGGTTAATCTTAGTGATGAGCCAAGAACAGGTGCACCTAAATCGGTAGTCACCCAGGAAACCTTTGTTGCTGTGCGCAGGCTCATCGAGGAAGATCGGCATGTGAAATATCGCGAGATTGAAGCATCGTTAGAGACCTCAATCTAAAAGATTGTGCATGAAGAATTGGGAGTTAAAAAAATTAGTGTCCCGTTGGATACCGCATCTGTTGACCGAAGAACAAAAATAAGCTAGGGTAAATTGGTGTCAAAAAACTCTGGGAGCGCTTCATCGCTGGAAACTCTAAAAACGTGTACTGCATCGTAAGTGGTGATCAATCATGGATTTACTCATATGAACTTGAAAGTAAACGCCAATCGTCTGTTTGGGTTTTCCAAGGTGAAGACAAGCCGACAAAAGTGATCCGTTCTCGAAGTGTGTCTAAAAAGATGGTCGCAACATTTGTCTCCAAAGCAGGTCATGTTGCAACAATTCCTCTGCAAGAGCAAAGAACTGTTACTGCCGTTTGGTATATAACGATTTGTTTGCCAGCAGTCATCGCTAAGCTTCGGGAAACCAATCCCAAATGACGAATCAATCAATCAAGACAATGCAAGTGCGCATACAGCTCGCAAAACAATTGCCTTCTTAGAGCAATAAAACGTCGAGTTGTTAGACCACCCTCCTTACAGTCCCGACATGTCCTAACGATTTGTTTACCTTTCCGAAAATCATGAACGCACTGCGTGGGCAACGGTTCCAGTCACCAGAAGATGCCGTTAAGGCATTCAAAACAGCCATTGGAGCTGTGACACCCCAGGAGTGGAATAACTGCTTTCAGAGCTGGTTCGAGCGCATGCAAAAGTGCATTAATCTTTGTGGAGAATACTTTGAAAAACAATAAAATGTTTAAACACTATCTTCCGTTTTATTCTAGGTCTATATGCAAAACTTACAGCCCTCGTATTCGCTCCGTGCGCGACAGCAGCGCCAATTCGTTTTGGTACTAATGGACTATTTCTGCCTATACTGACAAATGCAATTTTTAATAGAATTCGAAATTAAAAAGTATATATGTTAGTTTTAATAAAAGTATATAGATTTGTAAAACAAGTAAAACATTAATTTATTATTATTATATATTTTTATCTCTTAAATTAAAGAAAATTATGTATAATCAATAAAAATGAATAATAAAATATAGGCAGGCAACAGTATTTACTGGAAAATGTATGAGAAGTTGACTAAGTCTAATAAGTTGTCATTGAAGAATTAGCCTATTCTGTCAAAATAAAAAAATAGCATTTAATAATAGCGTGAAGTTAAAATGTATAAAAAATGGATCGTTATTTATATTTTCATTTTTGTTGGAAAGAAAACATAGAATGAATGATTAAAACTGGTTTCCCATCAGTAAGTCACAAAATTGTATTCCAGTCACATATAATCAAAGGCATAAATCTTTAAATCTAGTCCTTGCTGAATGAACATTTAAGAATAAAGGGATATTAAAGAATATCATAAAATGATAATTTATTGTTTATTTAAAACCTTTCAAGTTTCTGATGTCTACTATTTCCAGCATTACTGTTATTATTACAAAAATAAAGGTAATTTTTCTTCTTATTGTACACATATCCATTTATTTCTTTGATTTAATTTCCACTTTGCTACTGAATATTTTTATATAAGTTTCACTGTTTTTTTTTGCTAGTATTTGTACAATTTTCAACACAGCAACTCCGGTTGCTTATTGTATTGTTTTTACCTACTAATAAAATTAGCATTCAAATGAAGTAACCCGGGTTCGATTCCTGTCGGAAAAGGGAATCTAATTAATTAATTAAATTAATAATTAATTTCAATGCATAGGTAGGATTACCCACTCGACCGTTCACGGTTAGGTTCCAATTAACAAAGCTGTTACTAAAGTAGCTGTGGGAAACAGTAACAAATCTTTCACTGACCACGAGGCTGATAACCTTAGATATTCCGAGATAGAGCAGGGACAGTTGGAAAGGCTTTTGTGTAGAGAGGAGGTAAACGTCAAACCCCGTCGGACGACTTCGATAATTTCACAGTAATGTTTATTTACCAGTGTTGTATCATAGAATAAAAATAATATCAAACATTTTAAATAATTAGTTGCGGAATCGGACAATCGTATCTATTTATGGGCTTGGAAGTAATGATATCCGAAATCATAATTCTACAAAATTTCAACAGCTATTCACAATTTATTAAACTATTTACACAAAATTGTTATTAACATCTATAAAATAATTTTCTATGCCAATGTTTCGGTTTCGGCGAACTGTCAAATCCTGTGTATGAAGTGGGAGAACTGTGAAAAGCCTTTTCAAGTTTTGTGTGACCATATTTTTTCATAGGAAACTGAACAATAACAATACGTGGCAACACTGTTGGACGTCTAATAGGCGGTAGAGTGCACAATATTTTTACATTTGAAACTCCGAATGTCGAACTATGAATGGAGGTTCGAAAACTGTATTATAAAAAATATAGAAAAAAAAAACATGAGTTTATCAAAAAGTTGAGCCATATATATGGTGTTTTTTTTTTACTGTAAAGCCATATACTTGTCCTAAATTTAAATAAATGCGTCGTTTTAAGGTGGACGTCCAATACTTGGGGATGAAAGTGACGTCCGATTGATAGCAGGATTTAAATAAATATACTTTCTTTGACTTTCTAAAAACATTGTAATTCAAATAAATGTAAAGTAGTCAAGGGTAATATAACGAGACCTTGTTAAATAGTCGGCTATTTTTATTGTTATTGAATAGTCCATTTGAAATAGTGAAAATAGTCTATTTATTTGGTTCTGATTGGTTCTAACGATAACGTAAATTGCGATGTGATTAGTTAAAATGTTAAAGTTGACAGGCGAGAGAAATAATCAAATATATCTATCCATCTATACTGATTTCGCATCAAAAATAAAAGCATAATGAGGTAAATAAATCTATATATATATATATATAAAATTGTTTGTCCTGACTGACTGACTCAATCAACGTACAGCCAAAACTATTGAGCCTAGAAAGCTGAATTTTGGAACATAGGTTTATTTTATAAAGTAAGCAACCGCTAAGAAATGATTTTTGGAAATTTTAACTTTAAAGGGGGGAAATGGGCGGAGAGAGCTTTAATGAAACTCTTTGTTCTTTAAAGTTAGAAACATGAAAATTGAAATTACAGCTACTGAGCATAAATAAATAATGAAGAGTTTCAGGGTTTTTGAATTTTCACATTTTATGGGGGCAAACCGGTTGTGAAAGTTTATATGAGAGTATCGATTTTTTTGTTCTCTTTGAAGCTAGAAACATGAACATTGGAATTACAGCTACTGAGTATAAATAAATAATGACGTGTTTAGGGATTTTGGATTTTTACATTTTAAGGGGGACAAACGGAGGGTGAAAGTTTATATGGGAGTATCGCTTTTTTTGTTCTATTTGAAGTTAGAAACAGGAAAATTGGAATTGCAGCTACTGAGTACAAATTAATAATAATGTGTTTTAGGGTTTTTTATATTTTTACATCTTAATGGGTGCAAACGGGGGGTGAAAGTTTGTATGAGAGCATATATTATTTTTTTCTCTTTGAAGTTAGAAACATGAAAATTGGAATTGCAGCTAATGAGTACAAATTAATAATGAAGTGTTTTAGGGTTTTTGGATTTTTACATTTTAAGGGGGGAAACGGGGGGAGGGTGAAAGTTTATTTGGAAATATCGATTTTTTTTTAAGGTAGTAACTTGAAAATTTGAATTGTAGGTTCTCATCATAAATAAATAAATAAATAAATAAATAAATAAATAAATAAATAAATAAATAAATAAATAAATAAATAAATAAATAAATAAATAAATAAATAAATAAATAAATAAATATAGGAAGTGTTTCAGGGTTTTTGCATTTTAACATTTTAAGGGGGGAAATGAGGGATGAAAATTTGTTTAATAGTATGTATATATTATTTTGTTATTTAAAGTTTGAAACATAAAAATGTGACTTACAGCTACTGATTAATAATTAAACATGATGTGTTTCATGGTTATTGGATTTTCACATTTTAAGGGATGAAAACAGGCGTGAAAATTTGTATAGAAGTATAAATTTTTTGAACGTTGGAACTTGAAAATTATAATTGTATCATAAATAATGACTTGCTCTGTGGTTTTTAGATTTTTGTATGGTAGTATCATAAAAATAAACTAAAATTAAAAAAAAAATTATTAAAAATTAATAAAAATCAATAAAAATGAATAAATATGAATAAAAAATGAATAAATATGAATAAAAATGAATAAAAAGTAATAAAAATTAATTAAAAATAATAAAAACTAATAAAAAAAACAATAAAAATTAACAAAAATTAATAAAAATAAATAAAAATTAATAAAAGTGAATAAAAATAATTAAAAATGAGTATTTAAAAAAAAAATGAATAAATATAAAAAAAATGAGTAAAAATGAATGGAAATCAATAAAACTAATAAAAATTAATAAAAAAAGGAAGTCATGTATTTTTTTATATTAATAACGCGACTACATGCGAGCAAAGCCGTGGGCAACAGCTAGAACTTTATATAGTACACTTCAATGATGTTGAAATCGATATAAAAAGATTCATTTATTTTAATTTCGAAGTTTTGAGCATCTCCTAGGCCACTGTGCACTCATCCCTGCGATTATTTAAAATAAATTCGAATGATGAAGAAGAACTTACTCTCTCTGAGCTCGATCTGTCTTTTGGCCTCTCCCAAAGCGCTAAACAGATCTAACTTGATACGATTCTCCGCCGACAGCGAGTTCTCCAAATGGGTGTTCTTCTCCTGCATGGCGGACAGCGCAGACATCAGCAGATCGGTGTCGCGAATCTGCTCGCTAAGCGTCGCATTGTCCCTTTCGAGTGCCTGCACCCGGTCGTCCTGCCAGTGTTTGGAAGCCCGAACATCGGACAGCTCCGATTCCAGTTCACGTCTACGCGCTTTGCACGCGTCCGTGCATTCGCCCCTAGAAGACTGCTGAGCCGCAACCTGAGAAAAGATATCCGTTTAGGCAATATTAATAATTAATGTGTTTCGCTCTTTTACCATATATTAGGATAGAGGGGTCTTAAACGCAGAAATAATGTGTTTCGAGGTTATTTTGGCGAGATAGGAAATTGTAAAAGACATACTGGCGTACTGTAACCTACAAAATTGAATCCTACAATCTCCAAAGAAAAACTGTCTAAAACTACACTTAAAAAAAAGAATTTATGGCTAAAATTAAAATTTTGTCTACTTTAACCAAGTTTCGGTTTTTCTGATGTCAACCTTCGGGCTTTCGACGTCGCTATGACGGTAGCTTCTCAAATATTCCGGAAACAGTAGACAAAGACGTCAAAAGTAAGTAATATTTTCTAATAATTAGTCTACTGAACTTTGAGGCGTTGCTTGAATGAATCAGAATAACCCTATAAAATCAATTGAAAAGGATAGTATGACAACATGTTAAGCTTGTACGGATATTATCATGAAACTATTTTTTTTATAGAAGGCCCAATATTTCCTAATACATAGTTAAAGGTTTAGCTAAAAAAAAAAAAAAAAAACAATGATTTAAAAAAACAAATGAATTACCTGTGCTGCTCTTGCTTCTTCTTGCTTGCGATTCTTCCTTTCTTGATTAAGCTGTGACTCAAGATTCGACCTGAGCCGTCTTTCTTCGGCCAGTCGTCTCTCTAAGTTACTAATTGTTTGTTTGTCTGAAGATTTTGTACTTAAGGCGCCCTGCAACCTTTGCTGTAAATCTTCCACATCTCGCTGTAACGAAGATATTTCTCCTTTTGACACTTTATCCGATGTCGTCAATGACGCCACCTAAAAAAAACATTTTTTTTAAACAATGACAAAACAAATATTAAATATCAAAGTTTAGTACTTATGGTATAATATATTAACTGTGTACGTTATCCTTCTTCAATAATGTTTTAACAGATGGTAAATTATGAATCAATTCTGACACATTTAATATATGACTTTAGTAGAGTAAATGTTGAAAAAATAATAGTAATTTTTCATTTCATGAGAGAAAAACTAGTGTAATACTGTATTTTTATTACCTGTAGTCTCAACTCTTGTTCGCTAGCCCTACTTAAATGCAAATCGGACCGTAACTTTTTCGCGTCGGTCTCGAGTCTTTGAAGGTATTCTGCTGCTTCTCTGTCTTTGTCTTGCTCCTTCTTTTCTCTCCTTCGCATCGGTCGCGAATCTGTCGATTCACCACCTTCATAATAAAAAATACAGTGTTATTGAAATACATGAAGATATTGAAGTAGATTATTATATAGACTCTCCAAGAGTATGCAAAAATAGAAAAGAAAATTAAATTTTAAAAATTTGACTGGTAAATTTAGATGTAGTGGAATTTTTAGAGCTTATAAACCAGGATTTCACGAAAATTATTATTGACATGATCAAATTAGATTAGTTATAATTAATTGACGGGGTTAATGGAAAAACAATTTAATCAACAAGGAGAAAATGGAGTTTGACAATTTAAATTTGCCATATTATACAGTTGTTCCCCTAAGGAGTTACGGAATCCAAAGTGGGGCCATACATTCAAAAAAAAATTAATATCTCTGCAACTGTTTTTAAAAAGTCTATATTTGGTATTTGGGCGTTTCGTGAGTCTTGATTTGGGGGGTGAGTAAGAATTAATTGAAATACTTTAAGGAGTGGTTTTGGGGTAACCATGATGACAAAAATGTTCTGTATAGTTATAAGCGTGGGTTACCCAAAAATCACCCCTTAAAATATTTCAATTAATTTTTACTCACCCCCAAAATAAGACTCATAAAGCGCCTAAAAAATTTAAACAAATATAGATTTTTTTTAAGTTAAAAGGTTGCAGAGATGTTAAATTTTTTCGAAATTTATAGCCTCACTTTAGGCTTCCATAACTCCTTAGGGGTACAACTTGGTATAGAAGTAAATTGCGTTAAATCAACATATTTTGGGGTTTTCAACACGCACCAGCAGGCAGATTCCCATTGACAATTCGATATCGAAATACTCGATTTCGACAGTTTGGTGAATTCCTATTTGCGGGAAATCATATTCGCATCGACTAAAACGATTGTGAGTCACTCGCCAGCTCTGTGTTGCCGAATTGCTCGATTTCGGTAGATTATTGAGGTTATAGCACGTGGTTGTAGAGGTTGTAGCCTTGTAGCGGTTGTGATTTCTAGTTGAAATTTGAACAGTTTAAAGCATTGTCACTGTTGATTATTCTGTGTCATTGATATAAGAAGTTCTTGAGAATTTTGAGAATATAAGTAAAAGGTCTGCCTTAAAAAATAATAATGTAAGTACCTCTAATTAACTGTTAACTGTAACCACTCGGATGTTTCGTTTATCGCTAGGCTAGGACCACCCTGTCATAACTCGCGAGTGCTACTCATATTTCGTAGAACGATACGTCGAACTGGTCCTTCAGATAAAATGAAACTGTCACGAAAGTTTCGGAAAGCGATACTAGTAGAGCCATATATTTCTTATAGAAATATTCACACTCACATTTATTAATTTCAGTTTTAATATATATTTTGTTTGTTTTGTATGTTACAGATAACTCTTCACGAGGACGCGAAGATTTGTCAGGTTAGCCGACTGTAACCACTCGGATGTTTCGTTTATCGCTAGGCTAGGACCACCCTGTCATAACTCACGAGTGCTACTCATATTTCGTAGAACGATACGTCGAACTGGGACACATAAGAATATTTGGTGATTAGCACGACATTCTTGCATAGACATTCATTAGATACGTTTCATTTGATGTATTATTATTCTTAACACCGATTAAATTCGATTCTATATTAAAATCAGATTTATTTTATTTAAAATTAATTAACATAGTTTACATAAAACAGCACAAAACTATTATAGGTAATTATGATGGGTTTATGCACGAATTTAATTTAACGTAATTTAACAATTAAGCCCTGCTATTGGCTGTGATCACCTGATCAGGAATACACTCTTATTCGCTGCTCTTGCGTTAAATTAAATTGTGTGCATAACCATTCCTTTAGAAAGACAATGTCAGTTTGGATGGCATTGTTGACAATTAAAACACGTATTGCGCATGCTTGCTACGAATACTACGGGTTTCGGAATTGATCAAAACGCAGGACAATTCGATAGCGAATAGGAATAGCAAATTTCTCGATATCGAATTTGGTTGCGAGTATCGAAAGCCATTCGATTTCGCATTTCGCACTGATTTGGAATCTCACTGCTGCAGACATGATAGTCCAAATCAGTCCTCGGAATCAAGGCTATGGCGAGTAGCATTACTAGTTAACAGTACAGAAACAATTTGCTGTCTATTTTTATTTTAAATTAATGTTGCCTCATTTTCATAAATATTTTCGCCAATAACATCGTAGATACAATTTCTTATGTGTTACTAATGGTACTATAAGGAGAGCAAGTTTAAATTTTATATCGGTAAACTGAACTAATGCATTTGTGACAATAAAAATTGTAAGTACTATCTTCGAGCCACTGTATCCGTGTGATATGTAAGAATATCATAAACAAACTACTTTATTTTATAAAACATGTAATCAACCCAACCAAAATAATAAAACGAACTTATAACAAAGAAGGTTTATTTCAGACTAATCCTTTTTAACACAAAAATCTGCCCAGAAACTTGTCGCTCCGAGCAGGGAATTATTAATACTTACATAAACCTTTTTAGTGATAAATATTAGTCACACTAGTTGTCTTTTATTTTACTGATGAAAAATATTCTTTCTTTACGTTAATAAAATGAGTATAGTACAAACAAGAGAATTACATTAAACACCAAAAATCGAATTATTATATTTAACAGAACTTTTTGTTTTGGTTCATATATCAATCAACAATCAATACTCTATACTGAAATTACTGAATGCCTTCGGTTTTTCTATCATCAACAATTATAATGGGTTCCGTCGAAATATCGCATAAATAAAGATTTAAATCTGTTGGGTATATCGTATTACAGAGCACCGCCATCATATTTCTTACAGATATGTGGAATTTTATTAAGTTTCAATTTATCAATCAGCGTCTCATTAATTAAACAATCAAACAAACAATTTGTGCAAAAACCAGAAATTACGATAGAAATAATTATTATTGTAAGTTGAGATATTATGAGACATAAGAATTGTTCCCCTTCGAATTTTTTGGAGCCTCTTCAATTACACCGACTTGAGCGACTTTGTTGTTTGTTTTGACGGCGGAAGCATTGATTTGATATATTTGTATCTGCTTTATTACCTAGAGCCGGTGAAGTGTTATTTTTACTTTTTCGAGAAATATGACCTATTTTGCCGCAAGAAAAACAATTGACTTGTTTAAAAAAATTTTTTTCTCTAAAGTAATATTTTTGATCGTTTGAATGTTTTATCAAATGATGACACTTTTATATAATTAGCAAGGAATGCATTCAGATCACTTGTGGGTGACACTTTCTTCTTACAACCTGATCATCTATCAAATGTGCGATAATCCTTATCAAATCCGAATCCACCCAACTAGCTCGGATGCGCTTCAGTTTTTTGAGTTTAATTCTCACATATTCGACATACCTAAGTACGAGCCTCTGAGCTATGATAGCTAACGGAATCACTTAAAAGGTTACCTAAATTTTAATTTTTTTTTATGAAAAGATACAGAAAAATCAATCATCAAATAAAATTTCCTTACATTTTTCAGTGGGTTTGCCATGTGGAAAACCACAAAAAAAAGGTCTCTACTTACAGTTTCTCGGTCTGACCATCAAAATTAAGTTTTATAACCCTTTTTTTTTTGTTACCATACATGACTATCAATGCTGCATATCCACACGCCTTTGTAAAGTTTCCAAAATTGATGCAATTGACTCAAACGACTTTGCCATGTTTTTCAAAACTACCACAAAATTTCACGGAACACAAAACAACTACGAAAATACACGTGTACCCCACACCTGATGTTAGATTTTTTGTTAAGATCGATTGTCGATCAATGTTAGGCAGTGACTAGACATGGGTAACGCAGCGTTGCGTTATTGCGTTAACGCAGTTGTATGCGTTACGAGCGTTGATACACCAGCTGTTACTGTATCAGCGCAACGCAATTTTCGAGTCGAAAGGATCGCGAGTTGTTGATGCGCCATGCGCCAGGCATTGATTCCGTTTTCCGTGACGAGTTGATAATTTTAATTTACGTAATTGATGCAACTCGTAATGCAGATTACCCAAAATGTATCAAGTAATTATGTTCTTTACAACATGTCACATAATTTGTAGGATTGTAGGTCGAATTTTATGGATTTTAACCTTGTGTACACTGTCAGTTTTTAGTTCTTACCATTTTGATTGGCTACTAGTATACAAAAGTTATATCCTTTTTATATAAATTGAAATTTTTGTATTCTCTGTAAAATCCGAACACAATGTAATAAAAAAATGGGTGCTTTACACTGTTATATTTTCGTTTATTTTTAAACATATAATAAAAAAAAATTAGTTAAATTCCCAATTGCGTTATTGCCTTGAACACGGTCTGACATTATAAAAGGACAGCCCGCGCTGAATAACACCGGTATCATGCGATACACCGGGTGCGTCGACTTCATTCGGCGCAGGCAGTGGTGTGACGCAATAACGCAATGAGTTGGCGCAATAGAGTGCGCCGGAGTTAGTGTATCAACGCAAAGAATTTTACTGCGTTACCCATGTCTAGCAGTGACTGCCGCGGCGATGTCGTTCCTTCTGGATCGCGTACCGCTTATTTGGCGCACATGCGTGAGCAATCGAATGAATATAAGAGCTCCAAATTTAAATATTTAAAATATAATCTAACAATATAATACCAAGGATATTTATCTATGGCTAATTGTGCCGTTTCCAAACAATACATTTAATAAATCCGCATTAATGATAACTGGTAATTTACATGCAAAATAACACTTAATTTTTTAAAGACATCTATTTGTGTTATTTTAGAGGAGACTTTTGGATTCTCAAAAAAATTTCTTGCCGTATTACCGTCATTGCTACTTTCGTATACTGGTTTTGGTTGATCAATTATTAATCCTAAGTCCTGTTTAAATTCCCGTTGAATTCTTTTTTTTTTTTTTTCAAAAACTTTTTCTTTATTAGTAGTGTTTCTAGCTTGCCAACATTTTACTGGTAGTTTACTTGAAAGGTGTAAAATATATTCAAATAACTTTTATAT